TGCGCCCGGGTAAACAGACGCGACACGACCCCAGGGATGATTGGCCGATCCCCGGGCCTGTCTTTTAATATCTCACCATTTTCCAGCCCTGCTACATCCACAACAGGCGCGTAGAATGATTTTAAACCATGTGGTCACCTCGATTGGGGTTCTTGGTGTCGAATTGTTTTTTTTTCGGGCAGAGGCTTGTTATTTGCAAGCAGTCGAAAGCAATCGATGCTAGTTAGATTAAAAAATTGAATTCATACGACAGCTCAAAACATGAAGTTGCAGGACTGCATTTATTATCCGATAGAAGAGACCTTTATTACTGACTGTGTGTGGCGTTCTAGTTCACTGTCCTCGCGCCTGTTTTCAAAGGATTGAATTGCTATTTTTTGCGGAGAATCGGAGAATCTCTGGCTGGTGAATTAATGGAAGAATGCCTTAAGAAATTTATCAACTAACGGTCGTATATTGAATTCCAAAGAGTAACCACTTTGTTATCAATTTCCCTTTCGAAGGTATCGCAACGACCGTAACAGACTGAAACCCTATCTTTAAGCCATGGTTTCTGTCGTTGTTGCATGTTTCTTAAAAACGATATTAATTTTGTTGAAGTGTAAGGCGCAGACACGACGGAATGGTTGAAATTGTCAAATAATGTAAAAGGCCTTTTTGCGATGCATTTTTTTCATTTGGCATAAAAACCATGAACGTAAAAAATAGATTCTCATTTTCAGAGGCAGGAAAGGATGGTAAAATGCCATTTTATCGCCTCCTGTTTTAGTTATACTCTCATCCAAAAGCGTATTTTAAATAATACTTAAAGTTACTAAGGCCTTTCCTGACAATCGAGGATGTTGTTGCTGTGATGTCGTTACAGGAAAATACTGTTCACTTAGCGAAGTTTTGTGTTCAAATTGTAAACCCAAATTCGGTCATTGAAAACACTTGTCATAAAACTTTGCTTCCTGGACCTCGAACTGGAACAAGTCACTCATTAAACAAGATTTGATTATTTTTATGACAGCAAACTCAATTCCAGGTTCTGGCAATGTTAGGTCAGAAATAGCTAAAACATTGAGGGTTTCTCCCTTTCTTCTCTTGAAACGGCACGACAAGCATTGAAAATCAGGTAAAAATGAAACACGAAGGACGAATTACAGGAACTGCATTTTCAAGAGCACGTAGAAACGGCGGCAGCCCAACGGCAAAGCTGGCCTTGAATTCAGTGCCATTCTCACGAGATCTGAAAAACCCATTCAGCATTCCCCATCCCCAGCCCTATCTCATCCATTTGCAGGAGAAGTGAAAGCACTACCCTCTTCCACTGTCTGATGTCTTCAATCTGCAAAATAGCATAGGATTTGTTTTGGTCCAACAACCCGCAGCGAATGCTCAAGCGTAACTGTGAAGTGCATTCACATTTCAGAACTCCCATTAATGCGAGTTAATTCGGGAGTATCACTCCATCGCCCTTTTCTTGAATAGGTGATGTACAAAGCGCAAATGAAAGGGATACCGCCTGCAATGTTCGTGTCAGAAAAAAAAGTGCGTAACTCATTATAAAGGGTATCGACTCTACTTTGGACTTGACATTTATTCCTTTGGATAATTTGGGGAAACACTACACAGGTGTTTAGGCATTATTAATTGTTCAATTACTACATCGACATGGTAACGTTACGTCATCATTCTCCATGTTCCTATTATGTCACATGAGGTGGGCTTTCAAGCAAGCCTCGGCCATCAGGTTGAAACTATTGGAGTCATATTGCCTATATTAACTTTTAATGCATGCAATTACTATCTCACTGCAATCTTCTGCTATATCAACTTACACAAAACGGACGGGGTCACGAACCCAATCAGTCACTCTCGCAATAAGAAGTCACGTCCGTACAGAACTATCTACATAAGATGCAACATGGCGATGTAACCAAGGAAACACGAAATTGACTTACGGTTGGGCCACAATGGTTCGGTCAACCTCACAGTGATATTAATGGGTCACTTTGCATACCGTTCTGACTCCGAGTTGCCGTGTGTTTGAGGGCCCAGCAGGCGCAATTGCTTCATACGTGGGATTCAATTCTCGCCATACATCAACCTGTCAAAATTAACCATTATGAAGCCATGCTCTAGTGATGTTATGACTATATTGTTGAACGAAGTGAGGTAGTTAGAAATGTGGGTTGGGGGAAGTTGGGAGTTATTGGCCGCACATGGCTCCCCCAACATCCAATTCGTAAGGACTTGAGTTGTGTTTCAAATCAATGATAACTATTATTTTCAATAAGCTGTCTTCAGTCTACTTACTTACACTTCATGAACGGTATAAAGCATGTCCCCCATCTGTCACCATTTCATTTTATTTTGCTTCAGTACCATTGTACTTAGTTGTAATATGGAAAACAAACTCCAAATTTCAAATAAAATGAACTGCGTTCACGATAGCGTATTTCCATTCTTCCTAGATCCATCCTTCGACACCCCGAACATACACATCCACGTGACAGTGACATTCTCCATTATTCGCCAGCCAATCAATGAGGGCGCTGATGTCGAACAGTGCTGATTCGGAGAGAGTAGCGCCAGTGAGCTTCAGTACAGTAGTGCGTGCAGCAACCGTCCGGCGTCCGCTGGCGCAACGCTGTTATTATATAAAATATACCTGCCAGTTGTTTCCAACAATGGTGACAACTGACATTTATGTCCCAACTCTCTCTATAAACAGCTCATATGAAGCAAGATTTGAGACGGAGAGAACCCCTCCTGCTTTGTGTTGGTCATTGTCTCACTGGAACCTGAGGAATGCATTCTTTTCATACATCTAGGGGGATGTGTTGGGTAACAATAGTCATAGCGATTGGGCATGGGGGGTACCCCTCGGTCTCATTTCTTGCTGGATATGAAACAGCTCTGACAGCCTTCAAGGATATGGTATGGGGCAATGGCATTTACAGCATTTTGTGTCCAAAATATACCGCACTGCAAAGCTTTGTGGTTAAGTTACTACCTCAAGTTAATCTTGCCTACATTCTAACGCACGCGTCATGGCGCATAAGGGAACGGTGACAGTACATGCGTATTGAAGAAATTTGCCAATCCAATCGCTCTCTTTAGGGCGTTGGGAACAAGTTCACCAAGCTGCACTGAGCCCACCAATGACTAATATTTATAAGTACTCCGCAAGTGAAATTTGAATTAAGTCTCGTTCACTAAGTTGTTTGATTGCACCTACACATACTTTGAATTCCCCACACCGAAGACGCTGTTGCTATGCCTCGTGTTTCGGGGCAAGGTTTTACGTAGCAGCCTCTATCTCTGGAATGGACTGGTTCCTTTGTGCCCCTCTAGTGAAAACAGTGTATTGGTGCAAACATGATCAGTGGCTATAATAATACTGACCACAAGGTGACTTTTGTCTGTAATCAGTACACATACTGAACTGACAGTACCCATAACTGACAAAGTTTAGCAGTGAAATCACTGACAAAAGTCCAGTTTCCAGAAAAATGACCAGTGGTCACCACATGCTGATAACTAAGTGACCCTTGCCCCTCAATTTGCATTTTCCAAAAACTGACCACTGAGTGACCTTTAACCGAAATCTGCTTTGACCCTATGTAGGGCTTAAATTCTAACAAAAGCATTTTATCAAATGTAGCTAGAAATGGCCCAAGAATACGGCAGAAGAAGCCACTTTTTGATTTTCACCAAATGGCCGCTAGTGACCACTGGGTAACCCTTAGCCGTATTCTGTGTACAGAATACTGTGTACTTGGCCTAATTGTGGTCTAGGGAACTAACTGGGCAAGTTTGGCCTTCATCAGATGAAGACTATGGAAGAAGCATTTTGTAACTTTCAATAAAATGACCGCTAGGTAATCTCTGGCCCCGGTTAGAGTTCACAGATTAAGCTTGCTTGTTTTTCCGTAGAATTAGGCCTAACCATATGCTAATTATGTTGGCTAGAGATGTAAAAATGAATCCTTGCTCGACCAAGTATCCATGTACCGTATGCTGCAAGCCCGTAAAATCGAATCAGCGTGGCATCTGTTGTGACTACTGGACTCATTGCAATTGTACAGGCATATTGGCCTTGAAGAATACCAGCAGCTTGCATTCTCACGTCCTCGCCGTGGCTCCGTAGAAGTTGCCTGTTACCAGAGTTACCAATTTACCATGTGTACACCTACTTTGATCACAGATTGCCCGGAAACAGGATCATCGGATGAGCCAACTTCTAGTCCAGTAATAACACAGCCCGTATCAACTTACTCCTTTACCGAGGTTCCTCACATCCCCTCTATGGCCAAGTTCGTGCAAGGCTCAGTCTGCCGAGCGATACTTTATAATTTACGAAGTCTCGTTAGTGAACGTCCACTATTGGATGTGGAACTATCTACAAGAGAATTTGATCTTGCTTTCTTGACTGAAATCTGATTGGACTCGGACGGCTTAATCAATGACGCTGAAATGCTCCTCTTGGAGACTATGGGCCATTTTCGTAAAGGCCGCAATAAGTATGGTGGAGGAGTGCTAATTGCTACGGCTGATCGTCTAAAACCTGTCCGCGTAGTGAACTTTACAGGAGAACTGTTTTGGGTCGATATCAGCACAGCACATGGCAAACTGCTCTTTGGGTGACTGTGTAGACCCCAAAACTCTTATACCAACTGCTTTTTGACAATTACGTCCATCTGTTCTTGAAAGGGTTTTGGTTTTCAGTCATAATTCATTTGACCCATCATTGAATATGCTTGCCCTGTATGGAACCCTGGTCTTAGTTCTTTGCAACTTTCCAGAGAAGGTGTTCAACGTCGTTTCACTCGACAGCTTACCTCGAAAACATATACCTGGATTTCACACTAATAACGTAGACTCTCAGCCGGTCTCATTCAACTTGGATTTCCTCCTCTACTTAATAGGCTAAATTTCTCGCATGCCAGTAGTTTTCATTGCCAACAATTTGTTTAACAGGTTGCATGTAAACATTGAGAACTTGTCCATAATTAACAAGAGGCATCTCGACAGGGTCAAATTTATTCACTTCTCCTCACGTACACAAGTATTTCATAATTCATTATTAGTCAGGTTTCCCAGATTGTGGGATACCTTACCCGTTGATGTTGCTGATGAAATTGCCTTTGACCTTAACTGAGAAACCTCTGGCTTTCCCCTGATAGTAGCATTGTATGAAGTTCGTCCATGGATATCAGCATTTTTATTGTAAATTATAAATAATTAGGCCATATTGACAAGCTGATTTAAATTATAAATAATTCATGTACTACATGAACTTTTAATTACCCACCTCAAGTATAAAGATTTCATTTTGCCCAGAATTATTATGTCATTTTTACGACCTGTTAATATAACCACAGCAACACAACTTTAACATTATTATACATGCATTTCTCAATCTTAATAATGCCAACTACTTTCCAACAAACCTCAGTGCAATCTTGCCTAAACTAACCAGCAAAGTTGATTATAAGTATCCTTGCCATATTGACAAGCTGATTTTATTAATTCGAAGTTCTGTCTGTATAAATCTCTATGTGATTTTAGTATGTGTTTGTATTTGTTGACATTTTACGAGACCCTCTCGACAGTGATTGAGTTTGCTTTTAGGTTATCATTCAGGGGTGTTAGCAAATGTTTAAGTCTGCTGTTTCACTTAGCTTTGTACCCTGTGTCTGTATTTCCTGAGAAATGAAATGAAAAGGCTTGGGTCAGTTACCCATGGGCGAGTTCGATCAAGGACCACTAGTTAACTAGTGGTTGGACCGTGACGCACCTAGCGCATGTGCAGTGAAGTTGAAGTGCGGTTGACTCTGGTCAACCGCTGTCGGGTCATTAAGCCGAAGAGGAGAAAAGGTGGCCACAAGGGCAAAATAGCAAAAAATGCTTGTTTACTAGTGACACACAGTTTTTCCGGCATTTTTCTTATAACTGGTCCTCTCTGCACTGTGCTATTAAAAACGGTTTATGGCAACCAACAATCCAACCAACCTCGATAGGCTGGTTGTGAATATTTGACTACACCAGTCCAACCATCGTCAACTAGCGTGCATTAGATCAGAGTTTGTCGAACCATGGTTAACTATGGTCCTTGACTGAACTTGCCTCATATGGTCAAGTTTAGTTGAAGTTGGCCAATGTGTTTGCCAGTTACAGCAATTTACAGCTGATTGTGAGAAAGGAACTACAACATATCAATTGATGCTGTACACCAGCTGTGGTCTATGTGTAAAAATGAAGAAAATGGAAACATGATGAAATGCTGAAATGTACAGTCAGAAAGAGAGGCAAATTGACAGGTTAAAATCAACTGTAAAAATTAAGTTTTTATTAAAAATTAAGTGACCTTATCATGTAAATTTATATTTAGCACTGTAAGGCTATGTTACTTGGTAATCAAGTTTTTTGGGGGGACATTGGGTTATGATTTTTGTTTTTCAAATTGCAAACCGATGAAGTTATAACTTCACACAAAATCCCAGTGCTGTGCACAACATTTAGGTATTAATGATGCTTTTCAAACAAAAACTCTTTTGATTCAGAAGAACAGAATTTTTGCCAGCAAAAATAAAGATAAGTATTCAAATCTGATTCAAAGTATCCAAAAATTAGAATAATTTTAAAACAATTTAAGTATTTCTAAGACATACTACAGCGATTGACCATATTTCAACACAATTGGACTTTTGACTCTGCTTTAAAACAAACAAATATGGTATTTTGTTGATGTAACAATGCTGTCGTACAAATATTCTATTATTTAAGCAGTCATGCCAATTTGTACATGAAAAGAAATGCAGTATTTAACACAATGGCGTCATTATTACTTCACCTCAGTGTTCCAGAGAAAACTCCTGTTTTTCAGTCAGTTTCAACATACATGTAGGTATAATCTGTAAGTAATTCTGCAGATACAGGCTTCCAATGCTGATGTGAAGAGGTCAACATGGCAAAAGTGTTTCAAGACCATCCTTGGATGGTGGTCTGCACAAGGATGCCAAGCTTACACAGGTACTTATGGTTAAAGATGAATGTGTTAAATTCCAAAAGAAAATTACAACCCTTAGAGAAACAACCAAACCAAAAACCCTCACCCAGCATGTGCTATTTTGTAAAGCATGTAACCATCAGCGTTTGTAGTGTACTTTACCAGAAACTGGCCCCATCCCTCATGGCTGTTTGGTAAAGAACACAGTCCTAAGAGTATGGAGTGCTTGGTCTGCACATTCCAATGCTAACAGAGTGCCCAGCAGAATGTCCATTGCAACTGAGATTGTCCATCACTCCCATTTGGAATATTCAGATCCATTTTTTTTTCTGAGACGTTAAACCACTGTAAAAGTTACCACAATCTTTAGGACAGCCTCCTCAATTTTCAAAGCAGTCATTCATCCGAGCTGACATTGGGAAATCTCTCTTTTTTTCCCCTTCTCTCCAGGACACTCCTGTATCTCAGAATCCCCTGCTGATTTGTGCTTGAAGCTGCTGGTAGTGCTGAAGCTCCTGCTCTGAGACTGAAGGAACTAATGTTTCCAATGCCAAGAGAAAATCTTGCTCATCCACCACAACGCTGGTTTCATCTGCAGCATCACCTGTGATGATTTATAACAGCATTTTCAGCACTGTGCAATTGGTACTGCTGAACAAGACAAGACAAACCGATGGGATGTGGCTGAGCACTTCGACAAAGCAAAACCACTAATTTTCAGTAAAGCGTTGAAAAGGGTAACTCCAAAACTCGGGACAGGTAGAGAGGGAGTAAAAACTGTTGATACATCATGCTAGCTTGATCATTTTTGAGACAAGCACAGCTGCTCCAAGTCACTACTTACAGAGAAATTCCAAGCTGCGGAATACATGTAGAAGGAAATTCCTCATGTTTTTCTCTTATAGCATAGTGAGTTCATGCAAAATAACGATGCCAAACCGGGGCCTCAAGAACACCACTGCTAAATGCTGACCTGATTGAAGTTGGCCAACCTTTCTCTTCACTGCATTCAGCATAGCGTCAGAGCACAGGGCGTAGAAGTCGGCTCCTGTCATAGTAAGAGGGCAATTCTCGGCGACCAACTCCAGAGCAACATCAGGGGACAGAGCAAACCTGAAACAGAAAGATATAAAGGTTTATAGAAAAGAAGAAAAAAAGCTAAAACTTGAGGTTCCGTGGTTGTTGGCAACAGACCATAGGACTTTTCTGCAGGTATAAGGTTTTGAGAAAAAAAAAACATGCCATACATGCATGTACTACAAAATGTAGAGTAAGAACATGCACAAAGTCTACAGGATTTACACCAAACAGTTTACAAAAAGAACAGGATTAGGTCAGCATGATATCACTCTGGGAAAATATGCTTTAGAAACTTTTGCTTTATATTCAAAGTTTTAAGAGGATTTGACTTAAAATAATGTGTAAATGAGGTATTGGGAGAAAACGGTATTTTTCCAATATTCATAAAAATTCAAATGAAGATGCCATTGTGACATTACTTTACATAATGATCGTAAGTTAAAGTTCTACCTACACTGTATCTATGAACTTTATGTGGTTTGGCCGCTATCTAACTTTATGTGGTTTGGCCGCTATCTACTGCGTGTTAATCAAAAACTTCACTGTTGATAATGTCATCACAATGTCACAAAATTTTCCAGACAGCCCACAACCCATCAATTCATCCCACCCAAGCTTTGCAAAATATTTTTGGATATACCTCATCTTGTTCAGAAGGTATGTCAAAAAAAAAAACGTCAATATAAGAAAAATGGAAGATATGATGATGTAACCGAGATGTTTTATTACATTCTAATCTTTGGAAAAAGCAACTTTAACATAATATCAAATGCCAATTCATGACATCTTCATGACATCAGTGTTCTTTGCTATTCTTTGGTATAACAGAGATCTATGCACTAAAAGCAACCAGTGACTTTAAAATGACCTGAACAAAGTCTGTGGGATTACGGATTGTGCCCCCCACAAATCACAACAAAATATAGGCTTTCCAATTTTTTAGAAGAAAATTTAAAAAACACAAAAATGACACTTTTTTGCTTTTCAGTTGAAAAACCAACAACCAGAACATAGAACAGCAAAGGAAACAAAGACAAGAAAAGAGCTGAATACATGCCTTCATCACAGGATATGAGCTTAGTTGGATTTTTGTGTTTTGTTTTTCTTTGCTTTATCATAAGGTCAAGAGTGTATTGACAAAAAAGGACAGGAGAACACATCTGGCTAGAAGGTATTTTGAAAATGTCCAGCAACTTTAAGAATACAGTTGAGCCGCCTGGCCTCTGAGCTATCATCTTCAAGTGATTACCTACTGCCTACTCTATTTAAACAGTGTATGTGAAATTGTCTGTTTGGCAGCTTATAATTGACAGGTGCGCAAGAAAGATATCAGTGCCTAGGACTTGATTTATTTTTATAAATTATAAAGAAATGAAAAAAAAAGGTATTCAGGAGGCCACAATTGAGGGAATATAATTATCAGTTTAACTGCAAACAAATGATACAGGAAAGTATCCATACCAAAAGATAGATGGTACAAACATAAAGAAAGTTCACACAGTGACTGGAAAAACATAAGAACAAATGACACTGAGCAAACTGCTGCCAAATATCCACAAAGGCTGATTTCTGAGGTGATAGGCATTGCTTTGCACAGAAAGACTGGTCAAAATTTTACTAACTTTCTGGTCAGGGCTTGAATAATCTTCACTTGGGAGGTGCGATCTTGACTCACACCCAAATACAACAGCTTGTCAAATCTGAGGGTAAAAAGGAAGTACGCAATCACTATAATAAACAACAGAGGTACAAATAAACACAACCCACAAACAAATGCACTGGGATCATGTGAACAAATAACCAAACCAAAGGGGAAGGTATGAGGAAAACAGTTATTGCATTTGTCAAATCTGCAAATGAAAACAAACCCTACAAAAACATCATGTTTGTCCATTCTAACAGCATGAAAACACAGTAATCAAATACACTTTGGCATAAACTGCAGTGAATATGTCACGAAAGTGCTATGGTGAGTGGGTGCGCGGAGGTGAGTGGGTGCACGGAGGTGAGTGGGTGCACGTCGGGGGTTGGAAGGAGGCTAAATGTAAACTTAGGTGGGCAGAATGACAAGCTTCAAAAATCCAGTCAGCAATTAGTTCCTTCTGTTACTGGGCACTCTAGCTAAGCAACACTACACTGTAATCCAAACTTTTGACAGACAAGCTATCAGGATTTGTATGAGTCTGGTGCTAAACAAGCTGACTATAGGTAAGTGCATTTTATAGTATCAAATTGCCAACTGCAAGGAGATGGTGGAACACTTCAACAGTACATCATTTACATGTAATTTGTAAGGAGTGGGAGGAGGTCATTAAATTTTCCCCAATGGTTCCCAACGTATTCATTTTGTTATGCTGAGCCTCCACAAGTTTTTCCAGTAATGTCTGATAATCATTTTGACACCCACTCTGTGAAAATCAGACACACCATTAGCGCAAAAGGCTCATTTTTCTGAAACAGGTTGGCCAAAACTTATGAACTTGTCTCATCCATGTGTACGCTGTGTACACATGTACATGTACATGTACCACACCATAATGAACATCTTCACTTGCATGCCAAGTTTCAAAATGAGTGCATGCCGCACCGCTGAGATCTTGGCAGAGAGAACCCAACTCCTTCCCCTGGAGATGTCCCCCTCCCCCTGCCAAACCCCCCCAAAAAAACCCCCAAAACATATTGGCTCTGTAGGGTTAGCCACTGCTTGGAACGATCTCACGAAGCTTCTGTATTTAAACTAGAATGAAACAAATCATATAAGGAAACTGACTACGTGCTATTGAATGATTATAAAGATGAACAAAAAAATTGACTGCAGCGGGATTTGAACCTGCGGCCTCTTGAATACGGTACCAGTGCTCTACCAACTGAGCTACCCAGCCCTATGTTGGTGGCTCTTCCCATTTGTCAATTATCTCTGTTCGGGGGGGCACTAGCCAGAAGCCATTAAACCTGAAACACCATGTAGCCAGGGATCACACCCCAATAACACGATACAACCTGGGAAGTGGTAAACAGAGATCACTCAAAGAGGATACAGCTTCTTGAAAATAAATCATGAAACAAATCATATAGGGAAACTAGAATGTAAAACTTCAATGTCATTCCTGTAGTATGACGTAACAGTCCACATTGAAAAAAGCCAATTCAGTGAGAGCAATTCAACTCTTCCAACTTCCAAGCTTCCAACTTCCAGCTCCCCCACGGTAATTTTGACTCTGTTTCCCCTTTAAAGACAAGGGGGAAACAAACAAAGCTATGGTTCAACAGGCACATCTCTACACAAACTGGTATACAGTACGTGAATTTTACACAATTTTTTAACGGGGGCACTGAAAGCAAACTAACTGTGGCCTAACTGTGGCCCCTGTACATGGACTTCTGCTGTGGCGGTCACATTTCCCCATGCCCCATGGAGTCTTCAACACTCGGCCTCACCATTAACTGGGCAGAAACGAAGATCCAGTCACTCCCAGATTCTCCCCTACCTCTACCCACTTCCATTCCCATCAGCACTCAGGATGTTGAAGCAGTTAAGGAGTTCATGTACCTGGACTGCAACCTTTCTACTGACTGCTCCACAGAGGCAGAAATTCTACGGTGTCTGCAGCTTACTTGGGAGGGTGTCTTCGATCTGGCACAGCACCAAATTTAAAAACCAAGACCAAGCTCCCCCTCCTACGCTCCACTGTTCTCCCAGTCCTAATGTACTGCAGTGAGACCTGGACACTGACAGCTGCCCTCACCAGGAAGGTCGGTGCCTTTTACAGGACCTATCTCTGCACCATCTGGGATTCACTGGCATGACTTCATTACCAACAAGCAAGTTTATAGACAAGCCGGCAACCCCCCCTGAGCACTACTACCCAGAGGAAACTACAGCTTTTTGGCCATGTCGCCTGGTTCCAAGAGGGAGTACCGGCACAGCAGGCCTCCACCACGTGACTGGCGCCATTTCCGAATGCCCCCCCCCGACTTACGTGGTTGCAGCAGGTCAACCAGGTCCGACCACTGCACCACTTGATGGGCCTGGCTTTAAAGCGACTGGCCTACAGAGAGTTGATCGCCACAGTCACTTAAACTGGCCAAGCAAGCATACATGGAGTTATACCACTGCATGCAGTTCTCTTTCAAAGGCACAGTTCATCATTTGTCATTTGAGGCAACAAAGGTGCTCGAAATGTAAAGAACAGTGGCAAAAAACTGCTGGTAACCTGATGACATTGTAGCTCAGTAAATACTCCATATTTAAAAAAAAATTATTATTTTGGGATTTTGATTTCACATCAAAAGTTGCTAAGTTATGAAATGCGCCCAAATTCAGCTTATGGAACACGTTCACATTCAGCCATATGTAGCCATGCAATGTCAAGCACTGAACTGATGAATTACAAAACTGCCTGCACGGGGGCATGCAGTGGAAACACATGCCCATGCTTCATAAAATAACAAAACAAACTGCTGATGGCGATTTTCCAACAATACATGCTTTCACACATTATAGGAAAGGGCCTTCTTATATTGTTTTCTTCAAAATCACAGCTTGCCAGAAAATATAATTTTACAGGGAGTTTAGTCCCATAACTATTTTTAAACCATGTTCTGTAATGCAATTATGCTTTTCAATAATAATTTCATCAGTTACTTTTTGGATATACACATGTAGCTGCAAATGACGTACTGTAACTGCAGGGTACCATTTAATATCTCGTCCGTGTACTGTCTGCTCCCCCCCCCAGCATACATGTAGTTTTATCACTGAAGTTCACTCTCCAACTGCAAACAATGTGCCACTTCCTTTCTGTGTATTCTGTTTGATTACAAACTAAACTACGTCAGCTAAGCATCGCTGGTAGGTAAACTCACCTGCCTGGCCTCAATAGGGCTGGGTCCAGCAAGTCTGGTCGGTTTGTGGCGCCGATCACAAAGACATCGGTGGACTTATGCAGGCCATCCAGCTCAGCTAAAAGCTGTGACACAACTCTGTTATGGTGAGGATGACAACAGGATATGTCTAAAAAAAGCTGTCAAGAACACGAGAACAGCAGCTGCAAGGATTTCATGCCAACATTCTCCGAACATCTTTTGTAAACACCATGACCCAAGCACACATGTACGGTACATGAATTGCAGGTGCAAATGTTTTGAAGACTCTGAGATACCCACTTAATGGCAAGTTCTGGAACATAATTTGGTTTATTTTCAGTTTCAACCGAGATGAAATAACCAAAACCCAACCCATCACAAAAATCACAAGTGCAAAGCAAAAAGCAACCCAACTCGGCTGAAATATTGGAAAAAACCAACCCACCCTGAAGTTAGTTTTGGGTCAGCTTCGGGTCATCAGGTTTTGCAAATATGAACTACTTACCTATCCATCACTCCACCTGAGTCCCCACTCCTACCCCTGTTGGGAGCCAAGGAATCTAACTCATCAAAGAAGATGACACAAGGTGAGGCACTCCGAGCTCTCATGAACACTGTGGATACAAATTCAGGGGGAAAAGTCCGCTATAATATTCTGGATACATGTCCCAGTACATACATGAACACGTAATACATGTTTTTTTTTTCCTCTTTAAAAGAGAATATTTGAAGCCACTTCCCCCGCTGTATAAATTGAGAGCACTAGATCACTGGATTGATTTTGACTGGAGGGAAAGCACTGGCCAATTTACCCGCAAGAGTGGGTGGACTAATGGGAATTGCATGTGATAAATCAGCTGCAAGGTGTGTCACATGCGTGTACACGTATGTATGAAAATATACATTCCGGCTGCACTGGATATTTATAAGCACATGCAGGCCTTTATATGTACTTATACAGCATACAGGATACCTCTTGCACATATTTTGCTCACTGTACATGTTGATTTACACCTTTGAAATGAGGTATTTTTGTTATTTTAACATGCTGTGCATGTTATTTTTGATAGTGTTTGGAGGCAATCCTTCACCTCTATTAGGCAGTCTCATAAAAAAAAATCAGTCTCATCTACTGGGAAAGTCGAGACCATGTTGCGAGGGTAACCGTTTGTTCCCACAAGGTTTTTGGTCCCACAACATACATGTACATGTACATGTGCGTAGATGTTTTCCTCTAAGCATCCCTCCCGACTACTTGTATGGACATGTGCAAGTATGCATGAATTGCGCACATGTCCATGCAGGCCTATACATTTAGGTTCTGCAGCTGTGTACATGGTGTACATGTAGATGTACAGTCATTTGCAAAAGTTTAAAACCCCCTTGAATTTTATTGGTATTTCTGTCACTGGGCCTGCATTACACTGTCTCACTGAATGATTACTTAACATGATTTTATAGTGGTGCATAACATCATTTTTGCAAAGGTAGGTCTATTTTGTCTGCAAGGCAGCATGGGTAAAAAAAGCCAGTCTAAGCAATCAGATATACATGTGTAAGGGAGGGCACACTGAATATTAGACTGTTAACATGTCAAATCACGGAAAGTAGTCAAAAATGTTCAACCAAGGTACCAAAGTTACACATTGAAAATAAATATACAGGTAAGTTGCCATAATTGATTGGTTTTCCTTCAGGTTAATGCAGTTTCTATGGGTGGTCCTAAACCTTTGCAAATGACTGTATAAATGTGGACATAACTACAACAAATGATACATGTAGCTGAGAACCAGCCTTTGGCAGCTGGTCTTCCAGCAAGTCCAGAAGTTTCATGGACTAGAGTGCTGATAATAAATGTCACCTGCAAATTTGCAATTTCAATAATCACAGTAATTCATCTTTTCATAACGCCCACATGAGCTAACTGCTACCTCTCTCCCACGTCTTCAAGATCATGTATCTACATGTAGGTAATGAGATATGTGTAGAGTATAGTATGGTGTGCATGTACATGTACCTCAGAAATGCATGTGTTTGGTTCAGAATGTCTGGCTGCATATATAAGTGCTTGCAAAAGAGCCCACAATGACATGTGAATTCAGCTGAGACAAAATTCTGGAAAATAACATCAATGTAAGGTCTTGAAATACCCAGTGCATGTCTACATGTGACAGATTGGATTTAATTACACACTGAATGTGTAAATCACACAAAAGAAAACAAGCATAAATATGACAACTTGCAGATTTTTTTTATTGATATATCAACGGACCAGCTGCATTAAGACCAGTCCAGATATCTAGTAAGACAACACACATTTACATGTCAAATGTGCTTACACATGTACTTGGATTCTCCCAAATGTACGATAATCATGATTACAGGTATAAATGCTTTAAATTACATTTTAAAATTCAAAATCAAAATCAGTTGGGCCAAATCTGCACAAAGCCTGAAAAATGTATATATGTACATGTTCATGTCCTTTATCATCGGAATTTCATGATATACAAATGTTTTGATTGTTCACTTGAAAAAAATTAGACAGAAAAATAAATTTAGTATAATATATTCATATCAATGCAGTATACATGTTTTGTCCTATACATACACAGAAAAAGATTTTGCATATGTAACAAAATTGATACTGAATGGGAATATTTAACAGAACCTTGAAAATGCATCAATAACAGCTCCCTAACATCTGCTATAATCAGCATTTTATACTGGCATGCAAGGTCATTTGTATTTTATATTGTACATTTAATTTGTAAGTTCCTGTACATGAATAGTACTTTATTACGAGCATGCACAAAGTACCAGTAGATGTACATGTACATGAATGGCCATGCACCCTGAACAGGCTAACTAAATATTATACATGAAAAATTGAAGTGCGCAGACACCAACCCCCCCCCCACAAAAAAAGGAAAAAAAACAGAGCAAATGAGTGCAACCAAAGGGTTCTCACATCTCTGTGGCCCCATGCATGAACCTGATATGCCACATTTTCAAACTTTTTGAGTTACACGCATGAATGTGTACGGTAATATCATATCGTTATTTGCTAAAAATCTCCTCAGCTGGGGTGGCCTATTTTGTTGAAATACAGAGGGCGGTATTATTCTGACCAAACAGAACATTCCAAGAAGCAAAAACTTTAAGTAGATTTTTGTCAGTTTCTTGTCTGTGTGGCGTATCAGGTTCAAGCATGGGGCCACAGATTTCAGAAAGAGATTTTGATCATACTCATAGAGTATGGTGAATGAGCAACGATCACACTTCAGGTTCATCTTAAATCCCCTGCTTTTCCATATCAGACCCAAACAGTTTAAAAGCAACTTCAACGGTTGCCATACAAAACTGTTACAGACTTCCAGTGCATGTATCTGCCACATGCATTACCACACCCATAAAACCTTCTACTTTACATACAGAGATTGTTTGGATCAAAAAGTGGGTTTGAGTGACTGCAGTAGCAGGATGGGAGTGGGGGGCACTTTGAAATGCCTATTTAAATACTAGTCTTTGTAATTAATTCCATGATCAAGCTGAGAACTTTAATTTTGGAGAATTCATTTTACCTATAAACGGGGTGAAAACTTTTAAATAAACTCTTTTTTTCTCTTTAATTTCTGACTTCCTCAGTTACCACTGGTCTAAGGCCAAACAACTTGAATGTTTGAGCTTAACGGCTCATGCATAAACCCTAACCTTGAACATTTATAACTTTAAGTGCAACATAAATAAATGGAGAGCAATGAAATGAATCACGCGCATTTCAAATGCAATGGATGTGCTGGTATGCAATCATTATTCTCAAGGTTAGAAGCTTTCCCTTTGCTTCTGGTAAAATGCTGAAACCCACTTTAAGAAGTTCAGTCTTGAAATATGGTGACCTCTGTGTGGCAAGTTGGTTAGATTAGACTGGACTGGACTGGACTGGACGAGACGGGATGGGACTGGACGGGAATGGATTCCATTCCATTTTTTTCATTCCATCATTCTCAATATAACAAGTGGTTTGGCACTACACTGCACACTGTAGAGCAGTTAACAATTGTTGACCGCTGTGGTGTGGGATATAATGTCTTGAACACCCGAGGGACGCATATCACCCCGTGCTATGTGTGCCCCTAGATAAATCAGCCAATTTCCCTCACTTATATGTAAAGTAGCCAAGGCAAAACAGTGTGTTAATCCAACACAAAATAACTTACCTTCTCGAACGTTCTCCTCACTTTGCCCAACATACATGTTGATCAGCTCTGGGCCTTTAACACTGAGAGAAACATAAGGAAAATAAAGCACAGCATTACCGATGCACAGCTTATAATCCTCATTGAAATCTGAAGTAGAAATTCTTGCCAAGCAACACATAAAACAGCCAAAGCCCGGTAAAGAGAGGCATCACTTCAATGAAAGGTAATCCTCTTAACTCTAAACTTAGACTAGTAATATCTAAAACCTGTCTAAAAAACAGTTCTACTGTCAGAGCAGAAATGTGTTTGGGTAAAAATCTACCCCATTCCTTTCCCCCACCAAGGCAGTACATGTATAAGACAGGTTTTCTGTCATGCAAGGTTGCTTTTTACAAGTAACCCTGTGTGTACACATGTGCTGAGATGTTTGAGATCTTCCTCCAGCAAACATACTGGCCTTATTCGCAAGTAAGCAATCCCTGTAGAAATTCTCTCAAAAGTAAATATGAGTGGGAACTTCAGAAGATGATGCAATACGGATTAACTGTGGATTACCATCCTTGTGCTGCAGTGGGAAGCTCCAATTTTTGAATTATTAAAAAGTCATATCACCTTGATTGTCCTCATGAAAAATATTTTTCAAAAAGGGATTACACAGGTACCTGTTATTTTAGCACAACAGACAGGTTCCTTCCAATTTCTGAGTGTTTAACAAATAATGTTGATTCTGGGAGCACAATCCAAAATGGCCATCTTAAGAATAAAACCCATGGACTATACATGTGTACCTCAACCATCGAGCCCTCCCCCCAAAAAAATACCCCCAATTCCAGTACAAATACACAAAACCTTGATGCTTTGGGTAACTCGGCCAGCCTTAAAATTTGTCCAACCAACCTTAAGAAGTTCAGCGAGCATTCGGTTGCCACAGCTTTAGCCAAGAGTGTCTTCCCAGTGCCGGGTGGCCCATACAGCAAGACCCCCGACCGGCGGAGTCCCGCCGAAAACAGCTCAGGGTGTTGCAAGGGAAGCTGGATGGTGTCAAGGATTTGGGCACGCACCTCTACCAGGCCCCCAATGTCATCCCATGACACACTGGGTATCTGTGCCAAAATAAAGCAAGAGGGGTCATAGCGTACATGTAAATACCGGAAGTGCAATACATGCAGTACATATCTGTCCACGTATAAAAC